CTGGGTGCCAAAGCATAACTTTCGCGAAGTAGGCGCGGTTAAAATGGATTTCAAGGATTTTTTCATAACTTAGCCTTAAAAACAAGGAATTGTTCGGAAAGATGTCCTGCGGCAGTAGCGACCTAGTGTCGCTATCAAGTGGTTCTTGCAAAGCATCTTGCAAAGCATCTTGCATCTTCTTCTTGCAAAGCTCCTTTACTTTTCCGCTTTTGAGAGCACAAGAATTTTCGCTTGAAGTGGATTTCAAGAAGGCTTTTATAACTTAGCCTTGAAAACAAGGAAGTCTTAACAGAAATGTCCCGCGGTAGTACGACCCTACGGGTCGCTAGCAAGTGGGTTGGGGCAGATACATTAATACTGTCTGCATGCAACTAAAAATAGCGCCTTGAAAACAAGGAATTGTTCGGAAAAATGTCCTGCGGCAGTACCGACCCTAGGGGCCGCTATCAAGTGGGTTGGGGCAGATACATTAATACTGTCTGCATGCAACTAAAAATAGCGCCTTGAAAACAAGGAATTGTTCGGAAAAATGTTCTGCGGCAGTACCGACCCTAGGGGTCGCTATCAAGTGGGTTGGGGCAGATACATTGATGACTGTCTGCGTGCAACTAAAAATAGCGCCTTGAAAACAAGGAATTGTTCGGAAAAATGTTCTGCGGCAGTACCGACCCTAGGGGTCGCTATCAAGTGGGTTGGGGCAGATACATTGATAACTATCTGCGTGCAACTCAAAATGGCAAGGAAATGGACTTCATTTTCTCAACGATTTTTGGCGAAACGTAAATATGTAGTCGTAGGAATAAAATCATGCTCTCAAGCAAACTTTTTTACAATAGTAACTACTCTCAAATCATCTACGCTGTTCTTCTTGCAAAGCTCCTTTACTTTTCCGCTATTGAGAGCAAGAATTTTTGCTTGAAGTGGATTTCAAGGAGGTTTTTTATAACTTAGCCTTGAAAATAAGGAAGTCTTAACAAAATGTCCCGCGGCAGTACGACCCTACTGGTCGCTAGCAAGTGGGTTGGGGCGGATACATTGATGACTGTCTGCGTGCAACTAAAAATAGCGCCTTGAAAACAAGGAATTGTTCGAAAAAATGTCCCGCGGTAGTACGACCCCACGGGTCGCTAGCAAGTGGGTTGGGGCGGATACATTGATGACTGTCTGCGTGCAACTAAAAATAGCGCCTTGAAAACAAGGAATTGTTCGGAAAAATGTCCCGCGGCAGTACGACCCTACGGGTCGCTAGCAAGTGGGTTGGGGCGGATACATTGATGACTGTCTGCATGCAACTAAAAATAGCAAGAGAATGAATTCCCATTTTGTCAACGATCTTTTTCGCAATGCAAGTAGTAGTGGAAGCAAGATCAGGTTCATTTCAAGAATCATTTCAAGATCATTTCCATTTTCTCAACGATCTTGGGCAACGTAAGTACGTAGTAATAGAAGTAAGATTATGCTCTCAAGGAAACTTTTCATGGTGATAGCTCCCAAATCATCTACGCTGTTCTTCTTGCAAGTACCCGACCCAGATACCACAGCTACTAAACATGAAGATCACCTCAGCAGTCATCTAAGTAGAACAGCTTTCAACCCGAAACTCAGGCTGACATTCAGGAACTGTGCAACGGCCGCTAACACATCAAGCTTCGCGATCATACACAGTCCTATACTTTCCTTATTACGTCTCGCCAAGAAACGGTCATTTCTTAGAGCGAAACCAAGCTTGCTCAAAGCTTTTTCTTGGACATTCTTAGCAAAAATGTCCTGTCGCATGAGACCTCTGAGTATTCAAGAGTGTATTTCAAGCGAGCTTTTGCATGTTAGCATTGAAACTGAGAAGTCCTTAGCCTAAATGTGCAGCCGCATAAAGTTCTTTGAAGCTTTCTTTTCTTCGAGACTTATGCTTTTTGAAGCAGAAGTACGGTTTTCGCAATATAAAAGCGGCCAAAGTGAATTTCAAGCCTTTCCTGAATTCAGCAGTGAAACCTAGAGAATCATATCAATCTCCTGCCGCATGAACACTAAGTCTTTTCTTCCATTAAGACAAGCTCCCTCTGCTGTGTTGTTTTTATTGGCAAAAGTAGGGATTTCACAAAGTAGAGGCCGCCAAAAATAAATGCAGCAAGTTCTGTGAATTTTCACGATAAGTCTAGTTGGGAGAAATGTTTTCGGGTGGATTTGTTGAGTCTTTCCTTTCAACAGACCGAGTTTCCTCTGCTCATTTGTATTTAGAGGCAAAAACAATATTTTCACTTTGTAAAAGCATCCAAAAGTGTATTTGACAGGTTTTTGTGAGATTCAGCATTTAATCCAAGAAATTTAGCAAAATGTTCCTAAAAATTTAGGAAAATGTACTACCTACCGCATGAATCGACTGATTCTTTTCTTCCAACGAGACGTAGCTCCCCCTGTTTTTCTATTTCCAGAGGCAAAAACAATATTTTCAAAAACAAGCATTCACAAGGTGTATAAGCATTCAAAAAATGAGGTTTAAACGAATCCCCGTAAAATTCTTATTTTCCTAACCTTCATAATGTTCAAAATCATAATGTGCTTTTCGAAAACTAATGATTGTAAGAAGTTAGGCAGGATAGGAAGCAAAATGGGCGACATTTTCCAATTATGATAGCAACTGGGGGTCAGACATTTGCACTAACTCGGTAGTCTGGAATCAATTTTTCGTTGTTGTTTTAGCTCTGCACATGACACGCACTTGATTCCCATCTTGCTTGTTTATGAATGAGGAGGTGATCTTTGACGACGGTTGCCCATATTTGCACTTTTCATGCGGAGCAAGCTCTATAATTTGCACTTAAAGTGCATACAGTCTGGAAACTAACTATGAACGCCGTCAACTCTACGTCGCTGTTATGCAAACTATGTGGATCCTCCTTGAGTGCATGCGCTCCCCAGTACTCTCTCGGCGTTTCTCTGCATATCCGGGTTAGTTCATGTATCGCAGTTATACAGAGTGTCCCAAAAAGATGTGCACACTGTTTGATCGTCAATAACTCTCTTGCTTTCATGTCTTCCGCCGAACGTGAGGTACCATTCTGTAGAGCGAGAATAAACTTAGATTTACAGTATGGAGCGAATCACCAATCACTCATCGTTACTGGATTACGGTAGGAAATTCGAGGAGGATTTTGAGCCATTAAGAGCGGTATTTTGCCTCCGAAAGGAAGCCAAACAAGCCAGAAACTCTCGAAATGGGTTAATCGAAGTCGTTGATTCTAAACATGAAAATTGCGATTCACTATATTGCTAATTTCACGAGTTATTTTAGATTTAGGGTAACAATCGTTTTTCCAATGTTAGTCAGAAATGTAATTACGCCGTCAAGAAAGCTCGAAAAACTGGTGGAAAGTTGTGTAGTGAGATCAGCACGCCTGAAAAGCTTGCTACACAAATTTTCAGATTTTTTTGAAATTATTCTATCACAAGGCGTGTTCCACAGTGACGCTGTACGCTAAAAGTTCATACCGTAACCCTACAGTAATGAAGAAGGATTGGTGGTTCGCTCCATACTGTAAATCTAAGTTGAACCTCCCACTATAGAATGGTACCTCAAGATCGGCAAAAGACATGAAAGCAAGAGAGTTATTGATAATCAAACAGTGTGCACATCTTTTTGGGACACTCTGTATTTCGCCGCCGCATAATCTGGACTGCCCTCATTGTCGCGAATCTGCTGTTAACACTGTAAGAGAACACATAGCACAACGGTAAAGCATATGGGGGAGGAGAGTACCCTCGTCGCATCGCTTTGGCAGTTATCGAATATTTCATTCACTAAACAACGAATAAGACTTAACAATTGTTCTGTTGCACAAGACTTTTTTGACTTAAGAATTCGTTGATTTGACTTTGAGGTTTGCAAGAAATTCATACCCGATCTAGAGAGATCGGGCTCTGTACACTTCCGAATTGATTTCCTAGGACTCTTCGCAAAGCTTCGCAGCCAAGAAAGGCGTAATTAATACCAGCGTCAAGCTAATTTCTAATTTGTATGACTCTTTAGGCATACGGCGCTACAAGGTGATGGTGAAAACCTTCAAATTGCACTTTTCCGGTCGTTTTGATTGTGTTATCGTCCATTAGCCCAATTGTAGTGGGCACCGTTTGCAGACTAGGATGCGATCTGGTCAAAGTCCATAAAAAGCTGATTTTTCTCATCCAAACACATTGATAGGGATGATCTCTCGCTACCAAAACCGCGCCGCTGAAGAGGTGTAACGCCTGTGCCCGCTACAATCGTATGAAAAAGCGATACCACCAACTAGTTCTGAAAAGAGCTTCGTGGTGACCGGATGTTCTAGACCATATGATTTTCTTGAACCTGCAATGACTCCTGTTTTCAGCTAAGTAGTTCATTTCAATATATAAATTTGTGCGGTACTTGGAACAAAAACCATTATTGGGGTATGGCGTCGATGGTGCTAGAGAAAAGCATGAAATTGTCGTTTTTTTGAAATTCAGTCGCATGAATGCTGAATAGACTACTACTCGTTTGTGAGTCGTGTCAAAAAAGTAGAATGTTTTGAACAAAATCACCAAAAGAAATCCGGGTTTGTGAGGCTAGTTTATGTGCTTGTAAGTTCGACAATGGCAGCACATGTTCTTGTGTGACAAAATTCGAGTGGAAGAAACATCTCTTCAAAATAAATTTAAAAAATTAAAGTGGACGCACCGCAAAGCGACAGATATCGCATAAAACTGCGTTGGAGCATTGGTTTTCAGCACGCGAGGATTGCAGTGAGATCCCGATACCTTAAACAGAATGAAGGCTTGAATGTGATTGAAAAATCAACTAAAACTTCTATTCACCTCGTATCCAGCATTGAGAATGGCCGACTTCACGCTCACTGCCTTGAGCACGGAGCATTTGACTACGTTAAAAAGTTGATTATGCTTGTAATACAATGGCACCTCAAGTTCCTAGAAGACGAAATCAGATGCCGTTTGCAGCAACCTAGAAAATCTATCTAGAAAATAACCTCAGCCACATTTATGAGAACACCCAAGAGACGATTATGGGTGCCCAGCCTCTCTTCCTCGAAAGTTTCTTTGAGACTGAAACGAAAGTACGCCATGCGGGAAAAATACGGAAGTGAAAAAGAAAAGACTAATAAAAATGTAGGAGAAAAGAGTAATGAGAAAGGGAAATTCGGTGAATTCAAGTGAGCTTGCGTAAGATGTTCAATTGTCCAAAAGCTATTCTATGAACCACCTAGCTAGGATTCCTTCCACAAATCGTCGATTGTGTATAGGACCGATGTATATGGGGCCCACATGATGAACGGAGTGACCACAATGAATGCATCTGTTGTCTGCTTCTAAAATCCAGCATATCACCTCTGCGAGTTTGAAGGAGTACTCTCACTATAAAACGCATGTTGCGTAAGGTTTTCGGCTTTGTTTCACTTCACTAAATGTCATGCTAAATTAGTAAAACGTTCATCATGTAATACCAGCATAAGCATTATCCGTCATCATCCAGAAAATCCCAACTACGACAGCTGGCAGTAGTATGTGACGCGCACATAAGCTTGCGCAAATACAGCACTAATTAGGCTAAAAAGGTCACGCCGAAGAAAAGAGTCAAAAAACGAAGAAGAAGAATGAGCTCACGTATAATAGTCAAGGAAACCAACCCATCATAGTTTGCCGAACGATACTCGCGCAATACTTCAAACTCTTCCCATCTTCCACCTTCCTCAACACTGGCAGCACCTCCATTGAATGACATCCAGAGCATGCGATAACGTTCCCGACCTTACTAAAGATGTATTGTAAACAAAGTCAAATAAATAATACTGAATTCCCAGTCACGTACACTATAAAGACACTGACAAGACTTGTGAAGCAACCAGACGACAAAATACAAAGAACTGAGATAAAATCAAACCTCTTCAACCTTTTTATAGCGTTAACTGTAAACAACTAATTGCACTTTCAATAAGCGAGACACAAACGAAGCATCATACTTTATGCACAAGTTACCATACGCATGCAAAATTTGGATCTCAAACAGTTACTCGAAAACAACTCCAGACACTTGCACTTTCAATTCTTCCGTCAAAACAATCAAAACTCGCAAAACTTACCTCAAAGATCGGTCAAACCATAACTACGGTAGCATCCACTGTCTGGCGAAAACAACTCCAGACACTTGCACTTATGTACAACCACTTTCATTCATCGAAACAATCAAAGATCACATTAAGACAAGTAGCCTGCAAAAAAGGGCAACTTTTCTGACTCCCTAGCAAACTCATTTGTCTGTAGCTCCGAGAAGGCAAATGCTATACCCGCAACTCTCTTTGTAGGGCGGAGCTTTCTCTGCGCATCCTCAATAATTCGAGTGACACAGTTATATTTCTTCGCCGCATAATCTGGACGGTCCTCCTTGTCGCGAATCTGCTGTTAACACTGTAAGAGACACACAGCACAACGGTAAAGCATATGGGAGAGGAGAGTACCCTCGTCGCATCGCTTTGGCAGTTATCAAAAGATATTATAGTAAGGATATGTGGGGGTTTCGCGCCTCTCACGGCATAAGCCCGGGAGCATAGGTGCGATAGGGGGAGCCGGACTCTCCCCAGGTGAAGGGGGTCTCGGCTGTTCCCGACCTTCCAGGGTGAAGGGGGTATGTGAGTCTGGGGGGGGGGGGGGAAGGAAGAGAGAAAAGGTAAAAAAGCGTGGTATGAAGAGCTCTAATTTGTACCTTATTTAGGCACAAATTGAAAAAAAAATTTAAAAATTTTCAAAAGAAATTAAAAATTTTTAAAAAAACTGATTATGAAGATCTGTGCTCCTGTTTCACTGCATAAACAAAAAACGAAAGCAATAAGGTTTATCCCAAAAGATGTACAAGTTAGGAACAACTTCATTTCCTGCACATCATCATCAACAAAATCACTATCGCTAACGTCAGAGACAACAAGTTTGCTGCCTAGAAAATCTTCCTCTTCCTCCAAAAGGTCATCGGAGTAGAAGTAGAATTGCGTGCAAAAGCGTTCTGAGTCGAAAATGGACTTGAAACTTTCTTCTTCTTCTAAGCGCTTTTGTGATTTTTTTCCTGGCCCTCTGGTAGCACAAGGAAGTCAGCAGGTAGGTGACTAGTTTCTTCATACCATCTTTTAGGATATTTTAAAAAGTCATACGGTAACAGCCTGTCTGGACCACTTATACCAATCCTTTAAATGAAGTTTTTAGATAACAATGTGTTTAGTAGAAGGTTGACAAATCTTAAGTATTTGCTTAGATGCTCTATCGTTGTACGACTTCTGCGTTGTGTTCTGATAACAGATTAGATAGAAAATTTCTTTCTTCACCTCTGCCGTGCTAGTCGAAATGGAAACTAGCCTTGCTAGTATGTCCATCAGATTTTTGCGGTAGGTAATGGGAAAAGAACCAGATCGCATATGCTTTTGCAACACGAGAAGGAAATAGTGCATACTTTTTTGGGCCTTTTCGAACTCTGGCTTCACCTCCTCTGGCATACTTCCTGTTGACTGACGAGAAAGCTGCTCAACTTCTTCTTCAAGAGCATCTGCGGAATAGCCGAAAAAAAGTAGATGCTATGCTGCGCGTTGGTTTTTTTTCAATATCATAGGTCATAATGTCACAAGGCGAATAACTTCCAAAAGCATAAAGCACAGAGTTGGGTTCGCACTCCAGCCAGGATCTAAGTGCAGTAACTATGCTTTGTACTAACACCTTCCTTTTGTTCATATCCATGTTTGTGAATTTAGCAGCCTTGAATTCTTCAACAACCTGAAGATCAGCAATGGACTTCCTGGACATTTCCTCATTGAAACTAGACAATCTGCTTGGATTCCTTATGCAGAAAATCAGAGAGTTTCGCTCAATTGTCACCTCTGTGTCAATGTCGACAACATTTTCGTCAGCGTAAGATTCTCCTTCTGCCTCGCTATTGAACACATGCGAGTCATCTGCGATTTTGTAAAGTATTCTGCTTGCCGTTTCCTCTTCAAACTGCCAACCTTTCCAAAACAAGGGATGATTTAATAACATGTTATTCTTCTGAATGTCTTAAAGTTTTTGATTCATTGAAACCAACCATTCTCTACAAATCAGGTAAGGTGAGTCTAGAACGTTTTCACGAAAGTAACCTTCTTCAGCACTAGGTTTACAGAGTGTAGATTCCAGAGGCAGATTTTGTGTGAAGGTGTGGAAATTCACCAATCTCCCATAGTTTTTTGAGTGTGTACTGATAATGATGACATAGCTGTCAATCAAAAGCGCATTTTTTACTAAAACAAATATAAACATATAACAAAGATAAGCACGCTCAAATAGACGCGTTCGCTCACGTTCCCGTTAGTGCTGATAACGATGTCAATCCACAGCACATTTTTTACTATTAACTTGCTCTACCTCGCTCTTAATAGGTCGTCCAGAAAGTTTTTGCGCATGAATTTCAAAATTCATAACTTCTGATTTTTCCAACCGATTTGACTGCTTTCACTTTTATGTGAAAGGGTAAGCCATGCTCTTTATAATGACATCTCAGCTGCTTAGTAATGGTCATCTGTTGCATAGATAGGAGCGATAGAAGAAAAATGGCAAAAATTTTAATTTTCTGTGTAGGTTCATAAAAATCGGAGACTTTCAACAAAAATCGGAGCAGTCAGTATTGTAGGTTCTTTCACCAGCTCTTTCTAACAGTGCAAAGTTTGCGCTGATTGAGCGTCTCTATCAAAAGTTATGATTTCCCTGAAAAATGCCAAAATAAATCAAATTCGCCTTTTTGTATTGCTTGCTCGAAAATCGTAACTTTTCATAGAGACACTCAATCGGCGCAAACTTTGCACCGTTAGAAAGAGCTGGTGAAAGAACTTATAATGCTGACTGCTCCGATTTTTGTTGCAAGTTTCTGATTTTTTATGAACCTACACAGAAAATTCGAATTTTGACTGATTTTCTTCTAATGCTCCTATCTATGCAACAGATGACCATTAGTAAGCAGCTAAGGTGTCTTTATAAAGAGCATAACTTACTCTTGCATATGAATATAAAAGCAGTCAAATCGTTTGGAAAAATAGAAGTTATGAATTTTTGAAAATCGGGCGACAGAACTTTCGGTTCAACCTAATAAATAATGATCAGATATGCCACACGAAAAATATGGAACACGTATTCTAACAACAACATTTGTAAAACAGTAAATATCGTGAAAATAGTGTATTTCTGTAGGTTATATACATCCCGTTCAAGTATAACTCCAAGTACGACTAGACTGTAATTTCCTCTAAAAACTCCGTGCTGCTCTTTTGCCATGATTTACGAGGAGATCGATTTTGACCAGTGTCGTAAGAGGGTGGCGGATAAGAAGATCTTTCTGAAAACCGCCTTTGCTTGTAAATTTAGTTCTAAGAGTAAGAAAGCTCACCCCTGATGTGAAGTTCAGCCGCCACCCAGTGTGCAGTGTAGAAAGGGATTGCTTGCTCCTGAAGATGGTGTAAAAGACTAAGGAATCAAGCAGGATTCAAATGATTTACACCTTTCTGGATTAGATCCAGCTTCTCGCAGATAAACCTCATCAGCACACCAAGGACTGCTAGACAGACTGCTAGGAATAGAATGGCTATGCTGATGAGCAACACATCAATCCGAAACGAGGTCTTCAAGTCACCTATAAAAATTTGTAAAATCTTCTTACATTGGAACTTTGAGTGCACTTGCTCAAATTTTTTGCCTTGTCCGTTTTCTTAGGCATGAAATCTTGGGAGCCTTAGACTACTTCGATATTTTATATTTTACAAACTTCATGGATACCGTTCACCCTAAGTTTGGGGTTTTTGAGCTTTTGGCAGCTTACGATAATAGGATCCCTCATCAAGCCAGTACCCAAGTCGCGACTCGAAATGTCGCTTCGGAATAGCGAAGAGGCGTGAGGACCCTAAGCCGGCACCGCCCCCTCCAGTAATGCCCGCCCCTCCGTGTGCGCCATCCAGTCACCGTTCCAAAAAGCCGGCCTGTGGATTCTTCGGGACGGAAATTAAGTTTTCGCAGATTCTCGACTTTATATTCAGAGGGAGGACCTGAGAAAGTCCCTAAATGGTGAAAAGTCAAGAATTTGGGTGGAAGGTGCCTTTAAACTTCAATAATTACTGAAAATGGACGTCTCATGCTTTGACGACATTCGGCATCAGTGTAGAGGAATATGATAAATAGCCCGAAAGGAATAGGGTAAAACTAGCTTGCGAGATTAAATTTTCTGTATAAAATTATGTTTTGGCTTACTTTCAAGATACTCGCAGTGTGCCCTACTACGATCAAGGGGGTATTCACATTGAGGAGCTTTGCCCATTACGCACACTCCCACTCCACAGTCGAGCATCGTGCAGTCTTCTTTCTAAAAGAAAATATTATTATCTTCATTGTGAAAATATGCATCAAAAATTCAAAAATATCTGCCCTTTTTTTCGCATTTTTTATAAGGCTGCTGTACAATTGCAACCTATACAATCTGTATAGGTCTACATTGTCCGAAAGGCATACACCACCATTCTGGCCCAAGTTCTTGTGGTTTGAGCAATAATCCAGGTCACTAAAAATTAATTTCACTTCTCATTAGAGCAGTATTGTAAATGGAACGTACATATCGCAAAATATACCTTCCCAATTTTTCAGGCATTCACACTGATGAGCCGTGCGACATCCATTTTGGCAGCCTGCCAGTGGCACGCATTCCGAGCAGGAAACGCCTTTCCAACCAAAGTCACATCTGCAATCACAAAAATTGCAAGAAATAGACCTAGAGCAGCTGTTTTCATTCTTAAAAGAGTATGGCACATGCGCGACACTACAGCTGTTGTGAAACCAAAATCTATTACTCATAGGCTTTTTTTACTCATGGGAGGGTCGGCATGCAAAAATAACCCTAATTTTCAAAACCTCGGATTTCGATGAATTTTTTGCATGGTACATAGTAGAAGTAGTTTTTTTCAAGAGTTTACTATAGGTTACGTAAGGTAAGTAGTTCAAAGTTTGGGAGAATATATAAGACACTCCAAAACACAAAATTCATCAAAAATTCATAGAAATGTCGGCATGCAAAAACAACCCTCGTTTTCAAAAAATCAAACTTCGCTGAATTTTTGCATGATAAGTTTGTGAGGTCACTCTGGATTGTATGGAATGTAAGTCGTTCGAATTTTGAGCGAGAGCATAAGAAATTCCAAAAATGTGGAAATAATACGATGTAATCAGCACCAGTGTAAGAACCAACAAAAATTCAACAAGATTTGGATCCAACGAGATTTTTTTCACACCGTACACCTTTCGTAGTTTCGCTCAACGAATCTCATCGTGCAAACGACTTATGATCATCACGATGTTAACTCCCCGATGTGATGATATAGCGAATTCTAGGTTCCGGATTTTGTAATCCTATTGTGTTAACAGCGACTCGTACCAAGATAGATGGTTAATAATTCATACATAGTGGAGAAAGGAAAGGTTATAGTCAACAAAGCAGCATGAATCTCTAGTACTCCTTTTCGGCTTACATGGGAACCATGTTTAGTCGAAGTGACCTTCTTAGATGGGATATACACCATATTAGAGAGCATAAGACGCTGATCATAGGTGCGATAGGGGGAGCCGGGATCTCCCCAGGTGAAGGGGGTCTCGGCTGTTCCCGACCTTCCAGGGTGAAGGGGGTATGTGAGTCTAGGGGGGGGGGGGTAGGAAGAGAGAAAAGGTAAGAAAGCGTGGTATGAAAAGCTCTAATTTGTACCTCATTTAGGCACAAACTGAAAAAAAATTTAAAAATTTTCAAAAGAAATTTAAAAATTTAAAAAAAAATTTACTATGAAGATCTGTGCTCCGGTTTCACTGCATCAACAAAAAAAAGCAATAAGGTTTATCCCAAAAGATGTACAAGTTAGGAACAACTTCAGTTCTTGCGCATCATATCAACAATATCACTATCGCTAACGTCAGAGACAACAAATTCGGTGCCTGAAAAATCTTCTTCTTCCTCCAAAAGGTCATCGGAGTGGAAGTAGAATTGCGTGCAAAGCGTTCCAAGTCAAAAATGGATTTGAAATTTTCTTCTTCTTCTAAGCACTTTTGTGATTTTTTTCCTGGCCCTCTGGTAGCATCAGGAAGTCAGCAGGTAGGTGACCAGCTTCTTCATACCATCTTTTAGGATATTTCAAAAAGTCATACGGTAACAGCCTGTCTGGACCACTTATACCAATCCTTTAAATGAAGTTTTTAGATAACAATGTGTTTAGTAGAAGGTTGACAATTCTTAAGTATTTGCTTAGATGCTCTGTCGTTGTACGACTTCTGCGTTGTGTTCTAATAACAGAGTAGATAAAAAATTTCTTTCTTCACCTCTGCCGTGCTAGTCGGAATGGAAACTAGCTTTGCTAGTAAGTCCATCAGATTTTTGCGGTAAGTAATGGGAAAAAGCCAGACCATATGCTTTCGCAACACGAGAAGAAATTGTGCATACTTTTTTTGGGCCTTTTCGAACTCTGGCTTCACCTCCTCTGGCATACTTCCTGTTAACTGGCGAGAAAGCTGCTCGACTTCTTCTTCAACAGCTTTGCGGAATAGCCGAAAAAAAGTAGATACTATGCTGCGCGTTGGTTTTTTTCTTCAATATCATAGGTCATAATGTCACAAGGCGAATAACTTCCAAAAGCATAAAGCACAGAGTTGGGTTCGCACTCCAGCCGGGATCTAAGTGCAGTAACTATGCTTTGTACTAACACCTTCCTTTTGTTCATATCCATGTTTGTGAATTTAGCACCCTTAAAATCTTCAGCAACCTGAAGATCAGCAATGGACTTCCTGGACATTTCCTCATTGAAACTAGGCAATCTGCTTGGATTCCTTATGTAGGAAATCAGAGAATTTCGCTCAATTGTCAACTCTGTATCAATCGACAACATTTTCGTCGGCGCAAGATTTCCTTCTGCCTCGCTGTTGAACTAGAACACCTGCGAGTCATCTGCGGTTTTGTAAAGTATTCTGCTTGCCGTTTCCTCTTCAAACTGCCAACCTTTCCAAAACAAGGGATGATTTAATAACATGTTATTCTTCTGAATGTCTTAAAGTTTTTGATTCATTGAAACCAACCATTCTCTACAAATCAGGTAAGGTGAGTCTAGAACGTTTTCACGAAAGTAACCTTCTTCAGCACTAGGTTTACAGAGTGTAGATTCCAGAGGCAGATTTTGTGTGAAGGTGTGGAAATTCACCAATCTCCCATAGTTTTTTGAGTGTGTACTGATAATGATGACATAGCTGTCAATCAAAAGCGCATTTTTTACTAAAACAAATATAAACATATAACAAAGATAAGCACGCTCAAATAGACGCGTTCGCTCACGTTCCCGTTAGTGCTGATAACGATGTCAATCCACAGCACATTTCTTACTATTAACTTGCTCCACCTCGCTCTTAATAGGTCGTCCAGAAAGTTTTTGCGCATGAATTTCAAAATTCATAACTTCTGATTTTTCCAACCGATTTGACTGCTTTCACTTTTATGTGAAAGGGTAAGCCATGCTCTTTATAATGACATCTCAGCTGCTTAGTAATGGTCATCTGTTGCATAGATAGGAGCGATAGAAGAAAAATGGCAAAAATTTTAATTTTCTGTGTAGGGTCATAAAAATCGGAGACTTTCAACAAAAATCGGAGCAGTCAGTATTGTAGGTTCTTTCACCAGCTCTTTCTAACAGTGCAAAGTCTGCGCCGATTGAGCGTCTCCATGAAAAGTTATGATTTCCCTGAAAAATGCCAAAATAAATCAAATTCGCCTTTTTGTTTTGCTTGCTCGGAAATCATAACTTTTCATGGAGACGCTCAATCGGAGCAAACTTTGCACTGTTAGAAAGGGCTGGTGAAAGAACCTACAATACCGACTGCTCCCATTTTTGTTGCAAGTTTCTGATTTTTTATAACCCTACACAAAAATTCAAATTTTGAGTGATTTTGGTTTTGAGCTTCTATCTATGTAACAGATGATCATTACTAAGAAGCTGAGATGCCATTATAAAGAGCATGACTTACCCTTTCAAATAAAAATGAAAGCAGCCAAATCGGTCGGAAAAATCAAAAGTTATGAATTTTTGAAAATCGTGCGCAAAAACTTTCGGGACGATCTATACAATGTGTTGGCTTTTACGGGTCACCGAAGCAAATGATTTTTAGAGCCGGGTAGCAAAGAAGCCCTAACATGCTTTATACCATTCGAAAGCTGAGATCATGGAGAATCGACGTAGACCGTCGACTTTTTTCTAGGTCTTCTGTGCCGCGAGATATGAGGGATTTTATGTGCTTCAAAAATTAACTGGTTTTGTGTCCTCACTTTCTGCTCTCCAAATGAATGCTACGAGAAAGTCGACGGTCTACGTTTGTCAATGAAGACTTGCTCTTCAACACAGATAGATAATCAGCAGTGATTAGGTCTTCATTTTGCAGAAATCTGCTGTTGAAAATGACCATGTTTTCAGATAAAATGCGATGTATCTCTCGGTAGAGGGGGGCTAGAAAGAAGTCGACGGTCTAGATCGAATCCCCTTTTCCTGAGCTTTCGAATGGTACATAGGTTGCTGGGCGAAAAAACAGACCAGTTTTCAAAAATGGGGTGGAGATATTTACTATTAGCTTGCTCCAATCCGGCTCCACCAATGTATTGGCTTTTATCGGTTACCGGAGCAAATGATTTTTAGAGCCGGGAAGCAAAGAAGCCCTAACATGCTGTATACCATTCGAAAGCTGAGATCATGGAGAATCGACGTAGACCGTCGACTTTTTTCTAGGTCTTCTGTGCCGCGAGATATGAGGGATTTTATGTGCTTCAAAAATTAACTGGTTTTGTGTCCTCACTTTCTGCTCTCCAAAATGCTACGAGGATAAATAAATAATATAATTAAACATAAATACCGCTTCTTTAGTAAATTTATGAGTGTACTTGTTGTTTGAGGTACTTAGCCTGCAAAACCTTTTAATAACGATATATATCATATTCTCAGAGTACAATACCAGTACCAATTTCAGCCCAGGTAAAGGGGGTCATCGGGAGTTTGGCCTCAAAGTGAAGGGGGTAAGATCCATCACTCCCCCTATCGCAACTATGCCCGGGAGTGGAGACTTTTCACCCAAAAGTCTCCACTGGCAGTCTCCAGCCCATACATTAACATGGGTGAGGTGGAGACTTTGGGGTGAAAAGTCTCCACCCTGGGTTAGATCCGCAAAAATCATTGAATTCCCCACATATTATAGTTTAAAAAGCGGTTTTTTACCTGTTTTTTGAGAGCCCGAATCTCGGCGATATCTCAATGGATCGGTACGGCTAAGAATTGATCTGATAGT